AGGTTATTGTGCTATTTCAGCATGACATGTAAATCTGCATCACGCCGTCAATCAACCGTCTCTCTGCTGTCAGAGAGGTGATGTGTGAAAATGCCAATGACAACACTAAAGGGTGATGAGGGGAAAAGAATAGAACTACAAACTGCTGCAAGAAAAGATGAGAAATACTCGATTATGATGAGGTTTGTTATTTGTTGAGAAAATACAATCTTAGTTTGCCCCATTTAGAGACAAAAGAGGACATGAAACATGCTGCTCACTCTTTCTCTCCATCAATCATTCTTTCCATCCACGTTCTTCTCTATCTCCCTCCTCGGTTGCCTTGCGCTCTCTGTCACAGTATATCACAGTATATCTGTGTACAGCAATGTGCTACTGAGCTGCATGGAGATATGCATGTGCATGTAGGGCTGACCAACCTCTATTCTTTTTAGGTGCTGGTCAAAAATGGTTGCAGGACACTGAGGTTTTAATACTGTCAAGTACTGACAGCTGGTACTAAAAGTCTGTTCAGATTTGAATATTTTGATCAGATAATTCCTGATTTAAGTCATTTTGCCAGTTTTAGGCTGTACAATGTGGCTGCTTGTGTGAGACATCCATTTCTAAAAGGGGTTTATTATAAAAGTATCTTTCTTTTTCATCACATTGATACAAGTATTGAAAACTTTCAAACAACAGCCTAGACCTAGTTCTGAGGACGACTACAGTGAGTACCTCCTAGCCCTGTAAACACACCTAACACACAGCTCCATACATCCAGGTGCCCATGATACAGACATGCCCATGACTACACACTCACAACAGAGAGAACAGGGGTCTGGGGGCTAAGTAAGCGGTGCACCAGGTTATGCGCCATTTACCACAGCTCAATAACAACCGTTCTCTCTGCCCGACACACCTGGTCACACAAAATGACACTCGCTGTCCTCTGAGAACTCGTACACACACATCATATCTCCGTTCACCCTATGGTGGCCTTAACCAGACACATTACATCCCCACTCCACTATCTGCTTGTGACAGATGTATTCATGTAATGGTTTTGATAGGTATTGATTCACACGGCGGAGTCAGTTAATAAACAGAGAAAAATGAGATTTCAAAATCAACATGGCTGAGGGGGGGGGGGGGGGCTAACAAGAAGACAAGAGACGCAGAGAGAGAAGGTGAGAGAGAAAAAGAGGTGCGTAGAGAGGAGAGAGGTCAGCAATGAATGCAGAATGCAACACAGCTCGGAGGAGCTCACATTTGATTCACAAAAGAGTGATGGGACAGACTGAAACATGCATGGACTGTGTGTGTGTGTGTGTGTCAGTGTGTGTGTGTGTGTGTGTGTGTGTGTGTGTCTGTGTGTGTGTGCGACCTTGGCTTGGCCTGGTGGTAAAGTGTGGCGTCAAGAGAGTCAGTGTAAGAGCAGCCAAGCGTTCTCCCTCAGATTAGCAGGCTTTATTACTGCCACCAACTGCTGGCCTGACAAATCCTCTTATTTCATTTTCCCTTCCCTTACCTCTGCCTTGCTCGTTCTCTTTTCCTCACTCTTTTATTCCCCTAAAACATCCCTCCCCCTCTTTTCTTCCGACTCTACGGTAGCTTTGCATGCTTCGCACTACACCCCGCCCGGCTCCCGCTCAGTTGTCCCCACAGTACAACCGCCTCATTTTCTGCTTCCTCAGTTTTTTCCCCTCATTGTCTTTCCATCTTCCATATACTGCTCTGCCCATACCTATACAGTTATTTTTTTTTCCAACATTCCTCGACTCCACCTCTTGCTCCGCTCACCTCCCTATCTCTCCTCCCTCTCTATAGTGTGATGAATCTGTAGACAGGGGCTAATAATTGTACTTCAGCACAAGTGCTCATTTTTCTTTGTGTTTGAACGCTGTGACAGGCAGGAGCTCTTTTTTCTCCCCGACCCTCTTCCCTCTCTCTCTCTCTTTCCCTCTCCCTCTCTCCTCACACAATGGGTGAGTAAAATAAAATAACTCAGGGTTTACAAGGTCATGCTGTCTAGCAGTGAGGACACGCTGGGGATTTGGGGCTGGAAGGATTTCCTCAAAGGTGCCATGTCGAGACTTCAATAAAAACAGAAAAGTTATAGATTGCACAAGCAGATCTACAGGGGGAAATAAGTGCATTTGATAGTGAACAGGCTCACTGAATCACAGCTATCTGGATCCAAATGTTATCAATGCTGCCTTTTTGAAAAGCGCACAAGAGAGAGGAAAGTGTGGAGAAACGTCTGCTTTGTTGCTTGTGCCAACATCTCTCAGCATCTTCGCATTACACAACTTTCATCATTGGCAAAGAGAAAACGACTTAACGTGTTAGACTTCCTGTCATATAAAACACCCACATCTTATTTGCAGTGCGCTTCTGAGCAGTGTGTTGTTTTCTGTTTTAGTGCTACTGGTTCGTTACATCTCAGCGAGAAATGCATCTGGCACAGCGAGACAGGGCAGCCCCCCTATAAAGCCTCACACACACACACACACACACACACACACACAAAAAAAGCTGTGATGGTTTTGTCATCCTAAAACTGAATTTAAATAATATTTTCGAAAATTTGCAAAACAGGACTTATAAAATAAAGATACTTTATTAAAACTTACTAATTAAGTGCAAAAGGAGTCTGGGGAAATAATCAGCAAATGTTTTGTTCGGCAATTATTTAAAAATATAAAACTCTCAGGCTCTGTCCAAAAAAAGCAGTGTGTAAGCAAAGAAAATAATATTTCCATCGACTCTGCAGTAATACCTTATGAAAATTGATCAACAGTTTCAATCACAATATCATCCTCAAAAGAAAGGGGTGGAAAGAGAGCACGGGGTAGGGAGGAGCACAGAGAGCAGGGCTTTATTGCCTGCTGTAGTTAGATGGTAAATTTCCTCCTGGCAGATATTTATTGAGTTAGTTGAGTCTAGAGAGAGCTTTAACATTGATTGTGATCATTAAATATATCCGCTCGAAATGGCAACATGGCATTCCCTCAGTCAATGGAGCCAATAGGAGTGGAACAAAGGCATAATCAAATCAATCCTCTCATAATTATTCTTTGAGAGCTGAAATTAATCACACGAAGAAATAAAAACAATAATGGAAAATGAAATGGTCAGTCGTAAACAATTACGGCCCAAATTGAAATAAACTCAGCGAAGGGAAAAAAAATCAACTCTGAATCCAACTAATTAAAATAACATTCTAATGTATATTGGTTATTTGGTTTACACGGGCTTTCGGTTATTATATTGTCTTGTACTGTTATTATAAGAGAGAGTTAAAGTAACAGAGGAATGAAGAGCGACAGAATGAAAACGTGTGTGTGTGTGTGTGTCGGGCCTTGACTGTGGGGTCAAAGGATCAAGGTCCTACTCTTGTGAGAGCCGTGCTTCTCTCTCCTCCGTGCTCGCTGAGAGGAAGTGTAGCTTATCGATTAGCTATCAGATGATTCCGATAGGCCTGATCGATGGGACTTGGTATGAAAGCCAGGCAGGAACCTCCCTCTTCACTCAGACACACGCCCATGGATCGGCCACTGCAGTGCACGGCCACACAGACGTCCGGTTTGTTTGTTCTCCTCGAGATCCTCCTTTGTGTCTCGAGTCCGCTCCTCCAATCGAAGGCTTCCTCAACCGCTCTGTCTGTTTTCTAAAGCTCCACTTTTATAGACATGTAGTTGATAAGCTGGACCCTCATATATAGTCACAAACAGTTGAGATTATTCTAATGGTTATTGTATTCCCAGATTGAGCCTTGCTCCTTTAACAGGGGAGGGGGCAAACATTACACAAGGCTCAGGTGTGGAATCTCTCTCTTTAGGATGATCACAGAAGCAGGTTGTGAGACTTGGCAATAAAATAACTATCCTAAGAAGTTATTCTGTCTAGAAATTTCAACAGTGGTTAAGTGTGATATAATGCAGGAGTGAGACCCAACATGAGAGGCAGGAACTGTGTTTTAGTGTATCGAGTGGTGGCACAGCCAAAACAGGAAGTCTGCAAATGGAAACGATAAAAACACAGCAGGGCAGACTAACTAAGTAAGTCGCTGGGGTCTTACAACAAGCAGAGGGAAACTAACCAAGCTACACACTCACTAACTTGGAAATATGTCTGTTTAGAGCAGAACCAGGCAGGGACCATAGAAGGGGACCGTGTTGTCTCTCACAGAGGCCTGTGTCTATGATTGATGAACAAGCATGAGCTAATTCTCATGCCAAATGTTTTCATGGAGAGTTCACCAGAGATAGAAGTACGGTGACAATAAGGGGCCAGAGCCTGACCAGCACCACGGACAGCGGCCGCGGAATCCTTTGTTCTCTTTAGAACTTCAACATTGTAGCAGCGCTGGAGCTAAACCTGCTGTTTAACAAAATCACTCGGTACGTAATTGATGAATGTAATTTTATTGAGGGGGGTCACACCACCATAGTGCACCAGGACAGCTTTACAAAATGTGCTTGGTTTTTCACTCGCTTCCTCGCCGGGTATACATGAGACTCAGTGTGTGTGTGTGTGTGTGTGTGTGTGTGTGTGC